ACACACACACACACACACACACACACACACACACACACACACACACACACACACACACACACACACACAGTATAGGTGATTGAATGCTTGTTTGCGTCGGTGTTGCCACCCCTCAGTCCTCATGCCACCCCCTTGCCACCCTAAAAATAATTTTCTAGATCTGCCCCTGCTTTAAAGGGGCAGAGATGTGAATTTTTAACCACCTTATTTTCCCGTAAGAGCGGATGCGGCCATTTGTAAAATTACATTTAATGTGTCATTCACTTCCAGCTATCGTTAGCTGTACAAAAGAGCTCGTTTTGCTGTATTATACCATATTATTTTAATGTACTATCTTAATTATGAACACACTAGTTTGTAGTGCAAACAGTTTAATGGTTTACTGCACTTTGATATTCGCCTCGTTATTCCCCATACAGCGCTAATGATACAGAAGTCTCACAGTCACAGAAAAATCTTAGTGTACCTCCCAGTGCGTTGTCACGAACTACAACGACTGAATTTAAGTTTGTATACCTTTTATAAATGATATAGAGTTTTATACAAGAAAGAGAATGAATTGATAGAAAACCAATGCAGCGCTTCACATCTATACCCACAGATGGTTTACAGAATAATGTGAATTAATACAACAGAGAAAGGATGGTAACTACAAGGAATCTTCAGTGTGTTCCAGTAAATGTTCACATCCCCAAATACAGTCCCATTGATGATGAGTGGAAAACTATACCCCTACACAAAAACAGCAATACGTCCTTAAAGTGCTCTTCAAGTAATCCCAACAAAAAAAGGCCCACAGTCAAGTCCTTGTACTCAGGATATATGATAATCCACAAGCAATACAGCGCAAACAATCCATTGAGAAGAGTCTTCTTGACATCCATGAAAGTAGAGCCTTTGCAACTCATCTAGACTCAACACCAGATACAAAGTAATATTTAAAAAGTCCATCAACAAATAAACAAGAACCTAGCATTAACTAGAAAGCCCACACTTAAAGTATGCAGATCAAGTAAAAAAAATCAAGATCAAATGCACATGAGAACATGAGGAGAAACAAAACTTACACAAGATTGAACAGGAAACAGAGTTTCTCAATCAGGACTCCAATGAAATGTGCAGAGGTGCGAGGACAATACCATGCTTCCCTCTTCCAAACAAATATAACTTCTTCTACTCTACTACCTGGTTAAATTACTTGGGATTTAAGCTTTCCATCGCCCCCTAGTGGAGAGTAGAAAAAAACAAACTAGTAACTGCTGTTACAACTGTAATCTCTCATCTGCACTCTACATGAATTTCCACCATTATTTATGTTCAGTTACAGAGGAAATACCGCCTACTGAGTTGCAATACAGCTAAAACTGATAAGTTCAATATCTTATTAGAAATAGTGTTACATCAGTTCTTTTATGGCCATGTTCACTGTAGAGAACGTATGCTGTCAGGCAACTATAAGAGTTATACATGCACTAGTTTGTTATTTACAGCGCTGTAAAATTGACATCAAAAGTGACATCAAGCTTTACGTTTATTATTATCTGTTTTTTCTTTGGCAATCCAATCCATGACCTTGACCTTGCTAGTGTCATTTACCGGTTGATCTTTGCCGTCAGTAATATAATGTACCTTTACAAGCCAATTTGAGCAGAGCCCGGGTTTGAGATGAAATAATAGTCAGTATTCACTGATATAAGGAACATATGTTTCACTGTGATGGTGCTGACTTTATTGGTTATACTTCATAAAACAATTTGATTTAAGCTGGGAAATATGCTCATCTTTATAATGCGATCTCTTGAGTTTTATTACGTCGCCTCTGTGTTAGTGCAAATCGAGTGTGCTCCCGCTGAAGCAGAGGACGTCGGTGGTGTTTATGGCATAGTGCTGTTGTCTTCTGGGATGCTTCAAACTCTAATGTGAACGATTCCATCATTGCTCTGCGCAGAGCGAAACAAATGATGAGAAAGAAAGAGAGCATGAGACAAATCCATGCATTGTCTTCAGCAATCTAATCTGGGCGCAGACACATGCTCGACGGATGTCCACATTTGCATCTAACTGAGAACCAAGCTATTAGCCTGACAAAGTAGTGCTGTTGTTCAATTGCAGTCTGCAAGTCTGTTGGGTGATGTGTGTCTGGGGAATCCCAGTCTGCAAAGAGAGGGAATGGTGATAGCATAGAGCAACACTGCGCCCTGCTGGACAAACACAGCTTTATATATGAAGCCCAAAGAACAAACAGGTTTAGCTGATGCATTTGATGATTTTAGATGTTGGTGCTTTATTTAAATTCAAGTCATGCATCAGTAACAAATGTCAAATGTCAAAGGGAAGTTGAATTAAACAACCTTTTCACATGCAGGTATATGAAAGAACTGCATTTCAAACAGGACTGCTTCATCTGCATTCTTCAGGAAATTTCTCTTACAAACCATGTTTAAGTGACCAGAAAAAAAACAAAGAGGCCCCTCATACTAAATATTTTCTACACATACACATATCTCAAATAAAACATGTCTAAGGGTCCGGTTACGCAACAACGACGTACTAAAAACAAACATTTTTCCTTTGCATTTTTGAAAAGTACAGACGACCCTGTTCACACGGATCCGCAAAAATGCTTTATTATGGTTGTCAAGTCCGTGCACAAACCTATAGACTGGACATGTAATGCACATGCTCACGATGTCACCGTTTTCATAGTTTACACAGAGACAATAAAAGTATCATTTTCAAAAACAAACTTTTTTTCCCCCGTTTTCAGTTTTTACACCCCGATTACTAGAGCAATCTTCTAGTGGTTCATGCATACTAAAATATTGCTAGAAGTTACTTCATAGAGATTGCTCTCACTTGAGCAGATTCTAAAATATCAAATAATTTAATAGAATAACTAGAAAAATACATATTCAGAACAAAAAATGCAGTTAGTCGTTTGTAATTAAAGGATAACAATTTCTACTATTCTAGCTTTTTAATTTCATAGACAATTTCTAACTGAATTCATATTTTAGGAAGATTAATATTCACTTTAGGAATTTCCATGATGTATTAAATATTGTATTAATTCACATGACTACTTATATTTTAAAATATTTTTAAAAACCGGATATTTCCAGCTTTTCCTAGATCACGGGAACCCTGATTACTAATTTTAATGTACTTAAACTCATTTATAATTTAATACAGTCACATAACAGCAACCCAGCTAACAGGGAACATTCTCAGAACTCTAGCTAATGTTCTCTCAAAGTTATGAACAAACGTTCTTCCAGTAACATTAAAACAATGTTCATTCAATGTTATCTGGACTTTAATAATGTTCTCAAAACATTAGCACAAAAAATGTTATTTATGCATTATTCATTGGCATGTTTTATTTCTAAGACATTTTAATTTGACATTTAACTTTTGTTAAATTTTACTACTTGTTTTGAGAACATTCAAATGTAACGTTCGCGTAATATTTGAAAAATTATAAAATTAAATGTTAAAAAAAAGTTTTTAGAACCTTTAAAAAAATGGTCGTGTTGAATGTTCAGAAAATATATTCTGAAATAATGTTTTCATAACTTAATGGGAACGTTAGCAGAAAGTTCTTAGAACATGTTTTCCTTAGCAGGGAGCACATAGGCTAAAATAGATACAAAAACATGAACAAACACACAAACATTTAAATTAAAAACTGAGCAACCAAGCATCAGTCGGTTCGTTCCACCTCACTTCAGGGTCAGCGGGTGTGCGGCTCGGCCTGTGTGTGTTGATGACTGATGCTCTGGCTGTGTTTCACATGGTGTTGTCGTAGTTTTGTGTGGAGTACTGCGGTGACTGCGGGCCCTGCACAGCTCCGGCCGCTGCACCCAGAGCCGCCTGCTGGACCTGAGGGTTCTTCCAGGCGCCAGACACCCACTCCTCCTGCGCTTTACTCATGCTGCCGCCACTGCCACGGTAGAAGTTATGAACCTGCAATGTTCAAGCCATGTACAATCCTTGTGAAAGGCTTTAGAGCTCTTTGAAATAGACTACTCATTATGGAAAAAAAAGAATATGATTAAGTTCAAACGGAATGTTTCAGGCACATAACTGCATGTTATTTACAATGAAATGTATTAGAATTTTTTTATTTATTTTAAATGCAGTTAACTGAAGTTAAGAGAGTTTGCTGACCCACTTACTGTAAGTAGGACTTCAGGTACATCTTCAGGTATATGTAAGATTGGCTGATATATATAATATCTCGATGCTAAAATAACACTGGTAGTTCGATTTTTAACAGTTATTACTCGCTTCTGAATGGCGTTTCAGGCACAAATCCTAAAGTAAATGATTTATTTACTCTTGCATCTAATTAACAAGCACGGCATGCTCCAGCATCACATTTAATGACACTTCAGACACCAGACAACAAACCGGCTCCCAGTCTTCAATAGACATGTGAGCTAAACCAGCTGTAACTACAGGCAGACAGGCCGACTGCGCAGGCAATGAGGCAAACCCAGGCCTTTAATAGCTCAGAGAGGGCCGTACCTTCGTGAGCACGATAAATGAGATGGCAGCGACTGCGGTGAACATGAGGGTGGGGATTAACATGATGATGGAGGCAAAGATACTCGTGCCAAAGAAGGAGATGGTGCCCAACCAGCCGCTGAAACACAGAGATCAGACCAGAAGATATGGAGAATAATGAACAATAACACCATATTCTAGCATCAACAGACAGAGATGTATGTTGCATCCTGATATTCGAGTATTAATTACATATGATGATGATTAATAAATAATGCATTCATAAACTACAAAATAATAATACATTATGATAAATATAAATATTTTAAATTATATTAATCATATAAAATCTGTACAATTTAACAATTTGATAAACTAGTAGACTGGTTCTCACTTGAAGGCATTGTAAATGGGTCAGAATTATTATTATTATTATTATCATTATTGTTATTAGGAAGGAGAAGAATGGATTAATTATACATTTACCGCATTATGATGGTGATGATGATGATGCTTATTATTGTTATTATTAACAAATATTAATACATTTAATAAAATAATAACACTAATACACATGCATGCCATTTCACTCAAAAGCAACATGTAGAGGATACCTTTGGCAGGATCAGCTACAGGTAGGATCTACAGCAAGAGACGACAATCATTAATGTATAAACAGTCTGATACGCTGTCATTCGCAGCAGTTTGTCTGTATTAGACCAGAGTTTCTCAGCTTTATTGAATACTGGATCCCATCATTTTGGAAATCCCTCAGAACAAAAAAAAACACTTTTTTGATTTCATTAGTGCAGTGAACAAATGAGTGTGAATCACTACTAAAGTTAGTCGGCTTACCCAGTTTTCAGTCTTATCAGTTATGTGCAAAAAATACGTAAAAACATACAAATACTTAATAATTACAATAATTTTGTAATTACATGTTTGTCATGATGAAGTTGCAATTTAGTACATTAAACATTTACTTTTTTAAGTGTATTTAGAGAAACAGTCATGAAAGTTTCTTTAAGTCACTTAAGTGGCCTTTTATTTCATTTCATTATTTCATTAATATTATATTATCTGCAAGCAGTAAAAAAAAAAGTATATATATATATATACACTTTAATATTTTAAATACACTACAAGTGCACATCCAATACAATTAAGCACACTTAATTTCAATAATAAGCAATATAATATTATTTAGTAATATTTGCACATTTTTTAAGATATGTAAGATATTATTACCAGTTCTTACTGGTTTTTGATTGGCTTTTCAGGCAAAAATACTTGATCATATATACATTTTTTTTTTAACAATGATTTAAAAACATTATTCCATGACTCCATGCGATCACAGCTTACACCACTAGGTGTCTGAGACAGAAAATGAGCAGACATTTTCCCAACAGATTCCTTGTGCATTAGACCTCAGTGTTATTTGCAGGTTAGTTTGGTGTGTTTTCCAGACTCACAGATCCACAGATGGTAGAGTCTCTTGCACATGGTGCGGTGCTGGTCAGGAATCTCCTCGAAGTCCTGGTGGAAGCACGGCTTCAGAGGAATAAAGCCAGGCAGAGGAGGAAAGTTGTTTTCTACAGGACAAATGAACAGAACCATGCATCAATGTAAAGTACTGTTTGTTATTGCTGTGCTAGTAATGTCATGAATTAAATATATGGATTGATTCAGGGCCCTTACCAGCCATTGAGAAATGAATGACGGCTACTTGTTCTTAAGAGCTGTGAATCTATAAGTGAAGAACGTACATATAATGAGCCCAATAAACATTCAGAACCTTTCTAGAACACTGAACAACAGCAGGGTATGTAGGGGTATGTTGTCACAGAGTTTGGAATAAATCAGTTTTTTTAAATGTTTTTGAAAGAAGTCTCTTCTGCTCACCAAGGCTGCATTTATTTGACTAGAAATACAGTAAAAACAGTAAAATTGTAAAATATTATTACAATTTAAAACAGCTATTTTCTATGTGAATATGTGTTAAACTGTAATTTATTTCTGTGATGCGCAGCTGTATTTTCAGCATCATTACTCCAGTCTTCAGTGTCACATGATCTTCAGAAATCATTCTAATATGCTGATTTGCTGCTCGAGAAACATTTCTGATTATTATCAATGTTGAAAACTGGTGCTGATGAATATTTTTGTGTTAAACCGTGATACACAAACACAAACAAGACACAAAAAGAAAGAAATTAATAATTGTATTCAGTAAGGGTGCATTAAAGTGTTTAACAGTGACAGTAAAGACATGTATAATGTTACACAATATTTCACAAATGCTGTTTTTTTTTTTTTTTTTTTTTTTACTTTCTATTTATCAAAAAATCCTAAAAAAAAAAAAAAAAAAACTTTTACAGTTCCCACAAAAAATATCAGGCTGCAAAATCGTCAGCATTTATGATAATAAGAGCACAATATAAAAATTGCTAATAATTGGGCATAACATCAGCATACAATCAGCATATTAGAATGATTTCTGAAGGATCATTTGACACTGAAGACTGGAGTAATGATGCTGAAAATACAGATTTGATCTGAAGAATAAATTACAGTTTACTATATATTCACATAGAAAACAGCTATTTTAAATAGTAATAATATTAAAAGTTTTACTTTATTTTTACACAAACACAGCCATGGTTAAAAGATCTTAATGACTCCCAGCTTGACTCTCTTAATGTATCTTAACATAATATTAATTGTAAAAATACTATTGTCTTGGACAAACAGGAGTCAAAAAGATCTCAGAAACCCTCATATATTCACAGTTCAGCTGAAGAACAGAGAGAATGTGAACTGTCTTGAAGTTAATAGTGTTTAATGTCTCGATGTCTGAAGTTAAGAGCTCCTGGATTAAGAGGCAGGATCACAGGTGTGTGTGTGTGTGTGTGTGTGTGTGAGTGTGAGTGTGAGTGTGAGTGTGTGAGTGAGTGAGTGAGAGAGAGAGAGAGAGAGAGAGAGAGAAAGAGAGAGTTGTACTATCAGATTGATGAAATGATATTGGATGCAGTTCAGGGTAGGATGAAATAGAAAACTTGTAATACTCCCAATAGTTTGTATAAGTGTGTGTGTGTGTGTGTCTGGGTTCTGGAAGACGGCCCCAGGGCAACCAGACTTGAAAAATCACCAACGGAAAAGAGGCAAGTTACACAAGCAGGTTATCAGTAGGCAAACATCACAGTCGGCTGGAATGAGGAAAAACGCAGCCTTCCAGGTGCTGTCATCAGTAACACATAAAGACATTCCTAGACAATTGCATGTCGTGATGAGCTCTTGGCTTTCAACAGACCAGTCAGCGCTCGTGATGTGGCCAACGTGAATCTGGAGAATGATCGGTTTTAAAAAATAAAATAAAAATATTTATATAATAAGTGTGTGTGTATGTGTGTATATATATATATATATATATATATATATTAGTGCTGTCAAATGATTAATCGTTT